TTATAATCATAACATGTACTAGCTGACTGATCAAGTCCGATCAAAGTATTGTAAAATAATTTTTTTATGTGTTTCACGCCGTGTGTAAAATTAGTTGTGTAATATCAACGGTTCCTCCTGTTTTACAAGCTCATTAATATGAGCATATGATATTGATATTTCTGCAATTATATTATGTATAAAACTGACAGGTTTTCTTCAGGGAGGGTTGGGTCACGAATTTTTTTTTATCTGTTGTAGCTGAATAAGCAATTGTTGATGTAGGTCCCAATTGTAGCTTTATATTTCTTCTCATTGCCATTCCTTATTAAGTTAGTAATTACTGCTTTTAGAAAGTTATTCAGATTATAATCACTCTTCTTTAATTATCTGAAACTAGATTAATTCCGGTTGACAACTTCACGAGGTGCAAACAACATGCTTATTATCTGTTGACTCTAGGTCAACTCTGTATTAGTATTTGTATTTTAGCAAAATTGATGGTTTGGAAGAGCGACGCATAATAATATTATAGCCCTAACCACTATTTAAAGTTCTATTAATTGAACAGTCTGAGGTTTCTAATAGCTATAGTGATTTTATAAAGTAAACTAATGATGATAAGAATTTAATTAAAGTAAATTATTGTGTTATTTAATATAAAAAAACACTCTCCGAATCTAGAAGTATTATGCTATCATATTAGTCTCGTGTTAATATGCATACTGGCTTTAACAATCACGATACTAATTTAGTTAGATGCTTAATTGTACAAGTTATATAATTTATTCTGATATCTAAATTTAGGATAGTTTTTAACGCTAATTTCTTAATCTAAAATTCTAACCAAATTTAACAGTTAATTATATGTATAATTATCTAACGTGAAAAAAAGATCAAAATTTAGCATTAGTAAATAATACTTTATAAAGACTTGATTAATGATAATTAACCAATGTTTTTTTAATATCATAAAAAACATAATCTGATTAATCATATGGTTAATTAGCATATGATGATTCGCAAACGTGGTGGACGTCCAAGGCATAACCTTTCTCAATATATTAATGTTTTACCTAAAACAAGTCCAAAAGATAAAAGCCGGCAATGTGTATGTAAAGCATGTGCTGAAATTTTAAAAGAAGAAGCCCAAACAATAACAAATAGAAGAGAAAGAATTAAAAAACATTTGTCAGAATGTGAATATTTTTGGAATAAACATGGTAGAGAGGTTGCTGAAGAGATATTAAAAAGTTGTGATAGTAGTGAAGAGGAAATGGAAATAGATATTAGTGGTTAGTATAGTATTAAACATTAAATTTATATAGTTAAAATTTAAAATATAGTTTATTAATTTTTATTTAAATTACACTTACAGACACTACTACGTCAAATCTTTCATTAAATTCTACTTTAACTATATCTAATTCAGACTCTTCAAATAAAACTCAAATAAAAAAATTTAAGCAATCAGGTTTATCTAAATATGCTGTACGAAATCTTACCAAAGCAGAAATACCAGTATTTTATAACCTTTTAATTAGAATGACTGTTGCTAACAGTTGGGCTTTTCAGTGGATTAATGATCCTACAACGCTTGCATTATTTAATTGGTTGAATCCTAATTTAAAATTACCTGATCGAAAAGTATTAG